CAATGGGTTCAGCTAACATCCATTTTCTCATATAGATACAATAAAAAGAAAAGCGGGGCGCCTGGGTGGCTCAGTCGTTAAGCATCTGCCTTTGGCTCAGGTCATGATCTCAGGGTCCTGGGATCGAGCCCCGCGTCGGGCTCCCTGCTCGATGGGAAGCCTGCTTCTCCCTCTCCCACTCCCCCTGCTTGTGTTCCCTCTCTTGCTGTCTCTCTCTCTGTCAAATAAATAAATAAATAATCTTTAAAAAAAGAGAAAGAGAAAAAAATTTCTCCTTGTGTTGACAACTATAAGGATGTATTCCCTTAACAACTTTCCTGTATATCATATGGCAATGTTAGCTGCAATCATCATGGTGTACGTTACATCCCTAGTCCTTACTTATAACTGGAAATTTGTACCTTTTGACCACCTTCCTCCAATTCTCCCTCCTCCCATCCTCCACCTCTGGTGACCACAAATCTGATCCCTTTTTCCTGTGAGTTTGGTGTTTTTGTTTTGTTTAGATTCCACATATAAGTGAGATCATACAATGTTGTCTTTCTCTGACTTACTTCACTTAGCATAATGCCTTCAAGTCCTTCCATATTGTCCCAAATAGTAGAATTTCCTCATTTTTTTAATGGCTAAATAATAATCCATTGAATATATACACATCTTTATCCACCCATGGACACTTCGGTTGTTTCCATGTCATGGCTATTGTAAATAATGCTGCTATGAACATGGGGGTGCAGATATCTCTTTGACATATTGTTTTCGTCTCCTTTGAATATATCCCTAGAAGTGGAAACTGCTAGATCATATGGTAGTTCTATTTTTAATTTTTTTTAGGAACCTTCATAATGCTTTCTATAGTGGCTGCACTGGTTTACAGTCCCACCAGCAGTGCACAAAGGTTCCCTTTTCTCCACATCCATGCCAGCTTTTATTATCTCTTGTCTTTTTGATGATGGCTATTCTAACAGCTATGAAGTATTATCTCATTGTGGTTTTAATATGTATTTCCCTAATGACTAGTGACACATCTTTTTATGTAAAATCAGAAAAAGTACTTTTTTGTACTTTATTGGCCATCTGTGTATCTTCTTTGGGAAAATGTCCGTTCAGGTCCTATGCCCATTTTTTTTTAATTGGGTTACAGGTGACCCTTGAATAACATGGGTTTGAACTGTGTGGGTCCACTTAAATGTGTATCTTTTTCAGTAAATAAGGTACAGTACCATAAATGTATTTTCTCTTGTGATTTTCGTAACATTCTCTTTCTTCTAGCTTACTTTATTGTAAGACTCTAGTATGTAATACATATAACATGTATATGTTAATCAACTGTTTATGTTATGGGTAAGGCTTCTTCCAGTCAACAATAGGCTATTAGTTAGGTTTTAGGGCAAAGTTACACTTGAATTTTAACTGTGTGACGACTTGGCACCCCTAACTTTCGTGTTGTTCAAGAGTCAACTTTTTTTTTGCTATTGAATTATAGGAGTTCTGTGTGTGTGTGTGTGTGTGTGT